AAACGTTTCAGAAAATGATTCAATATAATAAAAGGTAGGCATACCCCAAGTCTTTCTAGACTTTGCTTACATTCGCACAGACCCTTGCACCATAAGTAATTATGGTTTAGAAAACTCGTAGAGCTGACAGATGATATAGCCTTCCATTCTGATCGTAATCATCTTAAGTAATTTACAAATATTTTCCATGTTTTAACAATATTCAGGTTCTTACGTAGGGAGCTTGTAACTTCTGTTTGCAGATACAACCTTGACCAACTTGTATAAATTCCAACACAGGTTTACTGCGTTTAAATTGCAAATTAACATATAATGAAGTGCGCTTATCACAATGGTAATGAATTTTGCGTTTTGCTTTTGAGTAAAATGGGAAAAAATTTATTTTCTGTAAACAAGTCACTTATGTTCGGTTAAGTTCAACTTAATGTTTCAGAAAACTTTTTTCTATTTTATTTCATTGCAATACATTATTAGTATTACATGTGTGTAAATAAACAGATATATAAATTAAATCCATTTAATGTTTAATAGATCGGTCAATAATTACGCGAACTGATACGTAAACATTATTTTTAAAAACTTCCAGTCATTGAACATTAGGTTTAAGACCCATAGTGGACTTAGTTAGAACACGCCTTACCCTTTGTACCGAGGTAAAGAGTGTTGTGGCATCTCTACTCCGTTGAAAACAACAATTCGACTGTGGTTTGCTAATTTTAAACGAGTTCGTTCAGAAACCCTTGATTCTGGATCCTCAAAAGAGTTAATTAAAAGAGAAAACATCAAAGAAAAATGTTCGAAATTATTATCGATGATAGACTATAAAGTTTCGCAAGATAACTGATATCTTAATAGCAGTAGTAGTACATAGTTTGTTCCCAATTTTTGCATGATAAACCGTTAGTTATAACGTTCACTTTGGGTAGCTTCTCTACTTACTGCATTCTCCGCCAGTATTTGCCGTCAGCGATTTAAGGGGGAAAGATAGAGGCCAAGTGATGAGATCATTCCGAAAATTTAAGTATATTTGAAGGATCTTGATAAATCATTCTCTAAAAGTAGCATTGATACGTTAGAGAAACATTCGATTGAGTATATCACTCACGAGGAAGAATATGTCAAAGAAAAAAAACATAAAAGAGGTTTTCTTGCCTCTGGAAACCAATGGCCGGTATATTACTGTGTTCGCATGAACTTACATCGGCCATTATTAATTCTCCACTTATTGTATTCCTCAGATTCGGTTCCCAGCGATTCCAGGGGAAAAGATTAAAGCCAAATGAAGGTGTCATGGAAGAAACTTAAGTACATTTTAAGGATCTAAGGAAGGCAAATCCAGTGTCAAGAAATTAGGGATGCTTTAGGCCGAATATATCACTTAAGAGGAAGATTATATCGATGAATAAAATCATATTTAGCAAAAGAAACAAAAACTGCTTTTCCTTACTTAGCTCCGGGAATTATTGACCGACATATTGTTGTGTTCCTATAAAATTACATCACTGGTTATTAGTTCATTAAACGTGAAAAGGATTAAATGATATATATAAAAAAAAAAATATATATATATATACATATATATATATCCTTTGCTTTAACACATCTCCTTAAGTTCGTGAGAGTGCAGAAAATTACCGAGTATACAACTGAAACTGAGTACTTTCAAAACTCTCTTCAATTTTTGAAATCGTAGAAGTGTTATAACTACAGGTTTACAAATTAAAATTAAATTTGAATGTCAATTACGTATAATTTGAGCTTCGTATAAAATCTTAACTTTTTTTTTGACTAATGGGAGATATAAAAAGTCTTCGCGGTTTTTTGCCGTTAGTTTATGCCTATATACTGAACAACATTTACCTGATTGGTGAGCGAGGCTGGCAAGCAAGTTATTAGGAAATAGCTTAAGCAAATAAAATGTCAACCATATGACAGTTTGGAAACATTTTAAAAGAGAAAGGCTACAAAAAGAAGCTGAAAGAAAGACTACAAAACCACGGAGACCTTTTATATTATCTACTATTTTTATAGCTTTATTTTTGATGTAGCGTGTCTGAAGGCGCGTTTAAGCAAACGTTACACACATTACTATTGAATCATTATTCAATTCTTTTGAATGAAGTCCTCATCTCGATTCGATTTTATATACATTTCTAATAATATTCGGCTCAGAACACTAATGGTAAATGCTTGTGGTTAATACTGCTTTGAGCTCAGTCTACAAATTCATTTCCATCTGAAAAACTTTCTCGCCTATCTGAGTTTAGAAAATTGAAGATCATCACATAGCGACTTATCTAGTAAATAGGGGAACTTTGGCATCACATGCATGTTTTGTTATGGTAAGAAAGGCTTCGGAATAAATCATTATTCAATTCTTTTAACTATCGTTCCATTCTCAACGCCTTAGTCAATAAATGATATAAAAAACTTTCTTTGAATCAGTTATTATTTAAGTGAAATAAAAGGTGGAAAATAAATTTTATTCTGGTCACTTTTATGTGTCTCCTGCATTGCCTTCGTACACATTAGGCTACAGGACGCTGGGGACAGGCGCTGCACAAAAACCCAACAGTTGACATTCAATTAAAAAAAATAATACTACGTGATCTGATGTTACTGCTTTTAATGGAACTTAGCAAGCGGATGGCAGATGTGGGCATGTTCTTACGAACTAAACTTCAAACTCATGTAGAAGGAAAAAATAAAATACATAAAATTAGCGTTCATATGAAATTGCTTACAAAAAAAAAAAAAACAAAAACAATTCGATCCGTTCAATATATGGAATTAAGATCAGTAAACTAATATGCGTCGCCGGCAATTGGTGATGAAATTCTAGGCACTACAGCATAATAAAGATTCGCCCGAAGATGTACGCAATTTCCTTAGTTGTTTCATTTTGGATCAATATGAAAATAATCAAAATCATAAATTTTAAGAGAAAAACATTGGCATGAAAGCAAAATATATGACATATTTATCTAGACGATACTATATACATGTATTTTTTTTTTTTTTTTGTTTTTTTTGTGGGTATAAATGAACGTCTATTCCAAAAAGCAAAATGTAAATATCACATGCATAAGAATAAAATAAAAATTATTGTCAAATGCATTTGCAAATGAAGGTCTGTTTGCATGCATGTGCTCTTGTGTGTGAATAATGCAAAAGTTTGGAGAAATATGAATGAATAGAGAGAGTTTTAGGCTACACATGTATTATAGAAGAATGAATGCATGAATATCTACATATGTATATATATATATATATACATACATACACATATACACATAATACATATATAGATATATCTATATACATATATATATATATATATATATATATATATACATACATATATACATTCATATATATCTGAAGATAGAAACATACCTACAGAGACATTTATATGTTTGTAAAGCAAATATTTATTCGTGTGTGCGTACATTTATCTACATAGATAATGATTTTTAGTCACAAAATTTGAACAATAAATTCGTGTAAAAATATAATAATAAAAAATAAATAAATAAAAAAATGAAATTTTTTTGTAGATTGCATTGTTTGCAAATAATATGTAAAAATGCATCAAATTTGAAAAAATATTTTATTCAAAATGAGTAAAAATAATGATCACTTTGGCACGAAATCAGGACGTTTTGTATAGATGTGCGTTTGCAAATTTTTACACATTTTTTTCTTTTTAAAGGCAGAAGTGGGCAATAATTTTTTATTTTTTTTTTATTTTAACAGAGATAGTTTTCTAAATTTCTACCTTTGCGAGAGAATTTCCTTCGCAGATCTTGGGCATATATTCAGTCATCTATTAATTAAGGCTGCTTTCTTAATTCAAACATGAAGAACTTTTTATACCCTACATCACTTATGTTGCAGGGTGTATCAAATTGCTGCGGGTATATGCAACACACAGAAGAGTTTACAACAGACCCATATTTTATTGTACCGATCGATTTAGGATCATAATCTGAATTGACGGAAGCCTGCCTGCCCGTCCGCCTTTTTGAGGTTTGTCCACTCCTCCCCTATTCTGAAAAGTCGTGGGAAAATCAGCAACTTTCAAAACTACTCGGCAAAAATGGCTAAATAGTAGTATTTCGCACATTTTGGACCGGCTTCGGCAATTTTTGAACTCTCTCTCATATAACGAAAACTGAACTTTAAAGGACAAAAAAAATATAATTTTCTATGCCTCACGATGAAAATTATATCATAATAGTAACTTAATATAATTGATGGTACCAAATTTAGACCATCTTGGCCTATTTTTTGGATTTTTAATAAGAATTTTCACGAAAATTGAGCCTTTGTAGAGTAAGAAAGTCTAAAGTAGCGGTGAAAATTGACCCATACTAGTAGTTTCATACAATAATGAACTCTACCAAATTTGGATCGTCTACGCCTATTTTTGATTCCTGCCACATGTAAGAATTAAACTTGTACTATATGCATTTATCTCTTTTATAGAAACAAGATGCAATTTTTGTGTTCTACAATACAAATAAGAATTGTGCTAGACAATGTGATCTGGTGTAGGGTATTTAATGGTATAACGTTCTTACTTGTTTTTTGTTTGTATAAAACTTTCAAATCAAAAATCAAGTATAATCTCGTATTTCGAAGTTTCCGTAAATTTGCCGTAAAGTCAATGAGTTCATCGTCCTGTTACTTAACCAATATAATTATTACAATGGAATAAGAACAAAATTATAGGCATATGCACACATACTTTCATACATTTCTACACATTACTACAGTTGAAAATTATTTTATATCAATTATATCTCAGCAATCAATTAATGGATTAATGACAAATACTTAGAAAGCGACAAACGAAGTAGAAATTTTTCATTAGTTTTTCTTTTCATTTCATTTACGAAACTTGAGTATTTTTTTGTAATCACTAGAAATATTATATATTTTGGATAACAATTGCTTTTGGGTGAATTATAAATAAACCAGTAAAAGAAATATCGAAAATGGCTGCCGCTGCTGCTACCACTGATGCCACTCTTCCCGCGATTGGTCAACAAATAACAATTGATGCGCCCATGTATATTACAGATGAGGATTTGGCGCCACCGCCACCACCTCCCAAGAAGAAGAAGCCTACTAAAGCCGAACTTATGGAAAGACGTAAGCAGGAAGAAATTGAATTTAAACAGCTGGAAATGCGTGTAAGTTTTCCATGGATGACACGAATAATTGCATATACAGTATATATAGTATGTTAAATGTTTGCCTGCAGGAAGAGCTAAAGCGTGAGCTTGCCATGTCCAAGAAAACTGCTGAAAAGGGTCAAAAAGAATGGGAGGAGATGTGTAAAGAGATTAAAATTAAAGAATTACGTTCAGAGTTGGAAGTAAGTGTGAAAAGCGAAAAGCGTTTTAAAAAATCATAAACATTTTTATTCGCCCGCCATAGGAATGGGAAATTAAGACAAGTCGAATTTTAAAACAAAAAGACGATAAGATTGCTTTGCTTATCGATGATATGATTGTCACCGAAGAGATGCACAAGCGTAATTATTCTACCCAAATGCAAGTGATGGAATTCTTATCAGGTCGTCGATTGAAATTTGTTTGTTTTTTTGCTAAAAAAAAAAATTATTATAATGAAATCCCGTTTAGATGCGATGCGCGCTTTTCATGAGACGGCGAATTTGCTCTACGAAACGCAAACGTCAGATATGGTGCATGAATACTATGATGAAATTAAGGATAGAGGACAAGTTACAAATGACATTAAAGTCAAATGCGAAAATGTGATGCATGCAAACAATGTGGTGGTCGAGAATCAAATGTTATCCGACTATCAAATATTTTTGGATAAACGCGATGATCGCGTTAATACGGAAATTGAAAAACGTTACCGTTTACGCGACTCAATTATAAGTAATATGCGATTTTTGCATAAGCAATTGACGACCTTTCTTGAATCATTGCGGAACGCCTCACTCGACGTACGCAAATACGAACGCGTCAATATGTTAATGGAGCGTCAGAAGAATTTTGTCATTGAATCGCAAAAATTGAATGATGTTGAAGCGCGCAGCTCTCGCATATACATGGATTTACAGCGTGACATGTTACATATAGGCGCCGACGCGCAACGAAAAATTAAGGATTTGCGCCTAGAGCACGCTTACTTTGTGCAAATGCGTAAGAATATTGAAACGGAAATGAAACAGGACCGTCAAGAGACATATGAAAAACTTAAAATTCTGACATTTCATTGCTTTGAGACAAATAAAGTAAATGACGCGCGCACGCACCCAAGATTAACTTTTGTCCAATAAAATATTTCTTTTTCCAAATAGAAATACAAAAAGTTGAAGAAATACGGAGAGTTGTTGCTCTCATTGGCTGCGAATTGCAGGAAATTGCAAACAGAATCTGAAAAAGTTGTACCCTGGGGTGATTTTGAGAAGCCAATTGATATTGAAGACGACAAGATTGAATTTAAATTAAATGTTCTTGATCTCAAGACTCATGTCGATCTCGACGAAGAGGTACGAATTTCATTTCGTTCGTTTCTTTGCCTTTCGTTTACATACATTTCATTTTCGCTTTCTCATCGTAAGGAACTCGATGCCCAAATCGAATTGATGAGCACTTTTTGGCGACGCCAGGCTATAGCTGAAGCTCAAATCGTTTTACTAACTGAGAAGAAAATGAAACTCGAGCAAGAGAATCAAAAATATATCAATAAAATTAAGCGTATGAGCAAAGTCGACGATGTGGCTGAACTGACTAAAACTCTGACTGTCGATTGTGTTTTACCAGAGCGTAAAGTACCACGACCACGCTGTAAAGCATCTATGTTTACCCGGCCACCTTGAATTTTTATTACTTTAATTTTTTTTTGATTAAATACTTAACACACATAGAAAAATATGTCAAAGCTTTTGACATGAAACTTGCATTCAATAATAAAAAAAAAAAATATATAAAAAAAAATAAGAATTCAAATAGCTACGCGTGTTAAATAATTGCTTCGGCTCATAATTAAATATATTAAATGTATATTTTATAGAACGACACAGACTAATCACATAGTTTTGACCGTCATCGTTGCGGAGGACGAGAATTCTGCATATAGTCCCGGCGAAAACGTATGAAAATTTTGGGCGAAAAGTATTCGATGCGGCACGGCCAACACAGCAATACTTCGTTGACCTCCATCATCTCCGCAGGATTGTCAAGGTCTCTGGCGTTACGTAGCCCAACGAACGGTACATCAATAAATCAAGATTTTCGACCTGCAAACTAAAAGCGATTTTTGCTCGATTAAATTACGGCGTTTGGCCACTTCTATTATTATTGCAATGGCCCGTCTCAAGTGTTCCGGATCGAAGCGCACCAACTTGAATCGTGTGTCATTGCGTGATAAAATCATATATTTTTAGTTATCTGTTGAAAGGCAATGGGTGTTGTAAATCTTCCAACCTGTGTTGTATTCTGATTACGTATGATGTTAGTGAAAACCATTGCTATTGAAAATTTTTCGGATCAGTTCACTTTTTTCGGCTTTTGTGAAAAGTCGTTATATGGAGAAAAATTTGGAATTTTCAAAATTTCTCGGCAAAATTTTGGACGGGCTGGAGTAATTTTTTGAAGGCACCTCTTATGTATCCGTTCCTGAGAAAACTAAAGATGAAATTTCCAGAATTTCGAAAATCGTTCCATGGTAGTAATTTGGCAAAGAAATTTACGTTACCGAATTTGGACCACGTCAGCTTATTTTTTGGATATCATCGCATATAAGCTAATCCTTATAAGCCAAAAAATCTTAATTGCTAATTTTTTCGTGATAAGAACTTTCTCATAATGGAAATTAAATAAAAAAATTAAGTGCACTTAATACAAACGTAATATATTTTTGCTCCCTGTTTTTGATTGTAATTCTTTCCTATAATGTCATAGCGTTACTCCAAAAAAAAAAAAAAAGAAGAGATTTCTATCTTTGCTGTGACCTTCATGGATGATCTCCTCTCTTCATGCATAATTCAAGTATTCCATCTTACGGAGCTGAATGCCTATTGTAGCCAGTAATGAAGAAATAAGTACATTTTTTTAGGCCTTGAGTTCTCTCAATGGAGCAGAGAAATTTTCTCTAGATTAGAAAGGTTCATCGGACCCAAGCTCGGGGTCTCCCATGGCTCGAAGAAGACTAAGGGTATAGAATGGCCCAGGACTTAAAATTTGCCCACTAGGTATGTTTCGTCCGTCCGCCTATGTAATAAGGGTAAAGCACCTCCATTTCTTTTAGATGTAACCGTCTGTAAAGTATCCGTGGGACAAAAGTGTAAAACCGCCTTATCTCCCGAACTGGCTGGGCCAGCAATCACACGTGCGTCCATCTCTACATCCTCCGACCGTCTTCAAGTGGCACTTAAGAATAGACCTAAAAATAATAGTCACGCCACGGAGAGGATAATTGTAGATGTAATAGCTGTTCCACAAAAGAGAAAGTAGAGAAAATTTCTCTGCTCGACTTGTCTACAGCTTCTCCGATTCTCTTAAAGTGGCACTCAAGAGTAGATCTAAAAATAATAAACACAGTAGTAGTTTGTTATGCAGACCTCCACGCAGCGGATTATTGCAGACATCATAGCTGTTCGACAAAAGAGAAAGTAGAGAAAACTTCTCTACTCCACCGAGAGAAATCGATCGATAACGAGGACTTACTTAAGAACATTATGAACTGTTTGGTGAGTCCGTGTTGCCACCCACAAAAGCTTCGAATTAATTCAGCTTTCAAACAACAAAAATTCAAGGGGCACTTACTATGGAACCTCTTTTTAATATTATCACGATCTTGATCGCTTATGTATTCCTTATCTCTTGATCTAAGACGGAATGATTAGCCTTGACTTAGGTTATAATATCCTTGATTTTTACTCTCTTGTATTTGATGTTGTGTAAATCTTAGTGTCCCCGGGCAACGTATTGCCCATCCCTGCTTTAATGTATAACATGTCATGACAAATAAAATATCCAGAATTTCCTTTTGTTTGCATTTGCTTTTGGCAAACACATGCCGAATGTATACATGAAATAAGAGAAAGAATATCTAGACACCTTCTAATTTACACATGCATGCAAACATACATTTTTATATAAAATTTATTATCGTATGAGAAGAAATTTAAGTATTTCCATTCTTCTTCGAGTTTTCCTGCTTTTTTCCTGCATTGTGATACATTATTAACTTTTTGAAATTTAAAAAAAAAAAAAAAACAACAAGAAAAGCATCGAAGAATTGAAAAATAATAGATAAATATGAGCGAAGAATGAAAGAATGAATATTGTGTTGAATATAATGCAAGGAATATAATGTAAGGGAAATTTTAAATCATTTTCGAACAAATAAGGAATAATATTTATAGTTTAGCTTTAGTAGAGTTCTTTATTACACTCTCAACAGGCGGCGCATAATGGACTTATAAAATAATGGTAAAGCAAAAATAAATCGTCATTTAAAGCTGTGTGAAGTACTGATTTTACAACGGAAACGAATGAAGCAGGTTTGTCTGTCCGTCCATATCATAATGCACACAGCCAGGACTTCAAAACTTTGCGTAAAAAAACCAACTTAGTCTCAAATTATTCCTTAGGATGCTTTTCAAGAGAAATTCGAAAATTAGGGAAACATTTCCCTTGATGCGTCTTGAGTTACCAAAATATTGGTTCCTTTCTAAAATATTTTCTTAATTTGTGGAAAGTTCTAGAGGGAAAGAAAAAATAGCGTGTGATCCTAGACAGGGTTGGTAGCTTATTATTACAATGGCAAATAGTACCATTAAAGAACGATGAGTTGCGGTACTGTATTATACGATACGCAGGCTATTCCACGACGAGTCGGTAGAAACGCTGCGAAATATGAATTGACGACGATTAAATACAGATAATATTGAGAATAAATAGATAGTATGAGGAGTTTAATGAAATATATCTCGTGCTTGGCAACCCTGAACGATCAGTCTAGAAAAAAAAGTTTTCAAATTATTTTCTTATCATTTTTCCCAAGCGAACTTTTAGGAACTATAATTTCAAAAAATTACGCTACCCTTAATTATCAAAGTAATCAATCATTAATTTGATTTATTTGTTCAATTCTGATCCAAAAAGTAGAGAATTTCCATTATTAGCTTACGGATTTACTTAAAAAAGTACATTTGATATCAATTTTTTCTTTTCATCGTCAAAAACCCAAAAACGCTCTAGTGGTTCACGGGCCACTGTGAAAAACTCAACACCGCTTCGCTTAATATAGCTATTCACACAACAATTTCTCCGGATAAGATCTTAAATGGTAGCCGAAGAAGCGGTCCAATCAGTTTTATAGCGTTCGTTCTTGGGCTAAAGCGAACGGGTATCAAAATATCATCAAAATATCTCGAAAATTGCGACATGTAATGTGAACAAAAAAAAAAACAAGACGGACATACGGACCGATAATCTAGGTCAGTATAATAAAAAATAGGTCTACTTCAAATTTTTTTGCGTGCTGTATGCATTCACCCAAATTTTATATACCTTTGTGCCACAAGTTACGTAGGCTATAACAAGAGCGAGAGAGTGTATTGTTATTATACCCATCACCGCAGGATGAGGCTTTGTCAAAACGTGTGCAATGCCCTGAAGGAAGTTTCAAAGACCCCCTAGAATATATATATGTCTTTGATTAGCATCAAATTCGAATTCAATTGAAGCGTGTGCATCTCTCCGTGTCTGTATTGTCTATTGCAACTATTCTCCCGGCCGCAGAAATGTAGCTTTTGACTTCAAGATTTGCTAGAAACATTGGAACTTGTTGAAAATGGGCCAAGCTTACAACGCCGTGTAAAGTGAAGACTCCTCTTTTTTTCGAAAAGGAATTAAAAATTGGCTTTATGCTCATTACACTTAAGCTACAACCGATAAATCGATAAAGATTTGAACGTATATTCTATAGATGATGATGTAGAAACTATATAAAAATGAAAAAAAAAAAAAAACGGTTCCGCTCAATTTTAATTTTTTTTTTTTGCAAAACATTCATATAATGCATAGAAGCAAGCTTCAGAGACCTCGTAAAGTATATAAATTCTTGGCAGCTGTGTATTGATATATAAAATGAAGGCGAAAACGGATATTGAATCAAGCCGACAGTTTAAAACTATTTAAAAAGCAAACTGCAATCAAGTTAAAGTGCCCGGGTTCAAATCTCATGTGACCATATGTGGACACTCCCTATCTCTTTTTCCCCTTCCTTTCCACTCACCGCAGCACTCATATAGACTACGGTTCCCGAAATGGATTCCAACGACGTTTAATGCAAAATGACAATCAAAGATAAGGGGAAACGATGAAATAAAAATTCTCGTAATATTTTGAAAGTTTCAAAATCCAATGAGATGCTGTCATCAGAAATGATGCTTTAGGTATTGTAGGACTTTATAAATCGTTCATTGAGGCCTGTAACAATCATATAAAAACGAGTTAATGCTCACTTGTGTGTAATTAAATCTATCAATTATATGTAAAGACACGTGCACTAGTGTGTGGGGTTTTAAGAGAATGCAATTTAAGTTGAAAATAAATTCTTTCTCTATTTTTATTGCGAAAAAGTAATACATTTAAAGCTCTTTGTATGTCTATTAGTAACCGCAAAACAAAGCCTTAAACAATGTTCCTTAAGATTTTTCTCTTTCTCTATTTGTTTATTTATTTATTTATTTTTTTTTTTGTTTTTCACACATTACCATGGTAAACCACAAATAAGACACACTACGAGTCTGAATAACGCGAAACTCTCGCTGTTAAGCGCATTTTATCGTTTTAGAGAAACAATCAT